ATAAAAATAAACGAAGCTTAGACAACCTCAACATAGTGCTAAAATCCCATATTAAGAATTTACAGCACTTGTGTTCTGAAAATCTCAAACAAAAAAGGTACCATACATCCAGACTTGAAACAATATAGAATTATCCTGACAATTGAAGAAGTTAGTCAAAGAAAAAATAATTGAACTAAATTATTGGAGGTAACATTATCATTGTATTCATTATTCTAACAGAAGATTGTATTGGACTATTGAATATTCTTTTAACGGCACATCGAATAAAAATCAATAGATATTTTAGCGTCATCGACATTGTCTATGGAGTACTTTGTGTTTTTTACAAGTGTTTAATCTGATAACATTAACTTTCAACTAGTCCTAGTAAATTGTGGTTAACGGTAATGGTTTTGCTATTATAAAACTTTGTACATCATATTTGTTTTTATTTTTAAAATTGTTTGTTAACCCAGATAAAAAAAAAAAACAATCCAAAGAGTTACAAGATTTTATACCTATCAGCCAAAGCATAGTGCCCCGGTCGAGTCAACCGCATCTGTATCCCCTTGGCGAAGGCTACAGTAGCGTTACGTGCCCAAATGAATCTCTTGTCGCTACACATAGCTAACAAATCTTTCTTTATTTGATTCACCTGCCACCTGTAAAAATATGGAAAATAGGCAATTACCTAGCGAAATAGACAAATGGCGGACTTAATGCCAAAGAGGCAATCTCAACCAGTAAATTTAGTACAAAACTTTATTTAGATTTCAATAACATTTGTCTTAAAATATATTTTAAAGACAAACGTTATTGAAGACAGTTTTTCAGACTTACTTGATTTAAAAACCTCAAGCGAGCCGAAATTGAACGGTGGTGTGTAATTTTATGAACCGACTTCAAAAAAGGCTGTTATCAATGTTACTAGGTGTGCGTATATTGGTCTGTATGAGCTTCTATATACGTGTGCTGAATTGTATAGGTGTATGCCTGTATGTTTGTCTACGTATTTCCCGCAAACTAGACGTCGGATCAAAATGATTATGTTTTTGTATAATTGCTTAACTTTCAACACAGGGAGCGAGGCCCGGCAAGCATGTCTGCTGCCTTGTATGCCCGTCTATTTACCGCTTATATTTACTTTCATACAAGAAGATATCTCTTCAATGATTTTGATATGTCGAGAAACGTCAACTTAGTAGGTAGTCATTATTTATATCAGCCATCGGCCGTTATCGATAAGTTTACGAAGATTTTTCTTTCATATAGCCGACTTGCAGCTTTAATAAGTGAGGAATGATATTTTTCTGAAAAGCGTTTCATATATGTTTAGAAAGTTTTATAGAAGTGGGGGCTTTAAACAACACTGATTTAAAATTTTGCAGGCTACGAATTTGTTACTACAAAATATTCGTAGTCGTAGCGTGTAGCAGAATTACGTAGTCGCATAAACAGTTGCATATTTCTACGTGGTTGTACAATATTGTGATATGTTGAATTGACTTTTCATTTCTTAAAAAAACGAAACTGAATTTCTTCATCAAATATAATTGCCTCTCGGTAACGTGGACCACAGAATAGCTCCGAATATCTATCTAATTAAATATCTTTGTTTTCAAAAAGTTGTATTTAGTACGACGATGTCGATATTCACAAAAACACTAAGTAATATTTTATTTTGTAGCGTTAATGAATGTTGGATATTAATATTATTTTACAAATTTTAATTTACATTATCGATTTCTAGTTAAATAAATTCGAATATTTACTTTGCAGTCGTCTTCTTTTTTGTTTTGCGCAAATTAACAAAATATTCGTAAGCTTGATCCGGCTTGAAAGGCTCGTCGGCGTCCAACATCGAACGAAGTCGAAAAATCTGAAAATATTGTATTAAATGTAGAAAACAGTTTACAGATTAACAGAGATCTTTATAGGAAGTGGCCTTTCGGAGGATAAAAGACTGAGGTGTATATCAAACTATTATTATGAGTAAATTTTGAGGAGTATTATTCCATAGGATAATATGAATAGCTCAATGAGAACAGAAAAGACAGGGTTATAAATGGTGTTGCCAGGCGTCCCATATTTCAAGAATAAATTCAAACGTCCCGCCGGGACTGACTGTCCCGATATCGATATCGAAATGGAACCCCAATTTTTTTTAATGTGCGATATGAAACAAAAATATCTTTGAGGATTATTATTCCATAGGATAATATGAATAGCTCAATGAGAACAGAAAACACAGGGTTATAAATGGTGTTGCCAGGCGTCCCATATTTCAAGAATAAATTCAAACGTCCCGCCGGGACTGACTGTCCCGATATCGATATCGAAATGGAATCACAATTTTTTTAATGTGCGATATGAAACAAAAATATCTTTAAATAGGCGCGTTTTTTATTTCACCAGGATTAAAGAATCTCGTATTTTTTGCAATATAAGTATTTGTCCCTTAGAGGGTGAAAAAAATCTGGCAACCCTAGTTATAAACCTTCATGTAGATATTCAAGACTTATCATTTAATCTGCGTTCGGCTTTATTGTCTGAGAGATAAAATTGTTGCGAATCACTCTAGCAATAGACTACAGTGGTTAACACGTTCGGTCTATGAAGTTAAGCAACCTTCGCAAGGGTCGAGCATAGGATGGGTGTCCAAAAATTTACTATCTCGAGCTTTTCCGTGCTTCGGACGGCCCGTTAAGCTTACTTCATAACAGATGTAGGTATCTTAAGATACGGAAATATTATTATATCTTAACCGTGTGTGGTGATATGTTAAAATATATAATAATAAGATGAAATGTTATAGAATCTTTACCTTCTGTTAGAAGCTTTAGGCCATTGGTGTCGGCCGTATCTGTAGTCGTTAACATCTACCAATACGCACTGGGCCCGCGTGGTGGGTCATGGCCCATTTTCCTTATTCGATTCGATTGAATACTAATCCAGGGGAGCCCTGCGTCCCAATAATGGGGACATCAATAGGCTTAATTTCGGTATGATTTCGGCTGTTCGAATGAATTTGTTTGTGCCCAATCATAAAATTATCGATTTAGTATGCCTGTAACAGGCAAAATCTCACAGAACAGCTTTCACAGACAAAAAAAAAATTCATTTTTTGTTTATGAAAATAGATAGTCTATGTAAATCTAACCGTTTCAGGAGGTAATGTATATGCGTGTTCCCGCCACAAGTTAATTATGTTGCGTCGACAAGGCTTTGATATCCTCTCTAGTCGATCAGTAAGGATCGCTCCATGCCTCCGGAGGCAGCGGGCGTGCGCTCTCGTAGAACGTCTGTTCAACTTCACGTCAGTTGCCTTTGGACCCCTGTAAATGTTTCCACTAGGATTCAACATGAGTATTCATGATACTTCAGAAAAGAAAGACGAGGATTGAATGTTTTTTATAATATGTTTCAGTAGTGGATCGCTTCTGATGTTTGAAAGGATATATTCACGAGGGGATTCCATTAAATTTTTTTTTAAAACGCATCTGTTGTTTTGTTGTATAGAAAAACTGAAAGTCATCTCGACGATGTCATTGTCATGAAAGACTACAATTTTTTTTAAAATTTAAATGAAACCAAAACATACTTCAAAAACAAATCGTTTTATTTCCTAATGAAACTACCAGAAAAGTGGGTGGTGGGTGAGTGGGTACTCAATAACTGGAATTTGAATTAGACTTCCCCTATTTGATTCCATTCACAGAGAACGCATATACTCTAGGAATGAGGAGAATAATATCCTGATAATGAGAAGATAAAAATTCGCAGAGTTCCCTAGATTTCTCCGAAATTCAATCATCAAATCCTTCCCTGCTGACCACGGATTTTCCTAGAAGTGTTTTCCCCTAAAAGTATTTAAGAATTTTCCAAATCAATTCAAACATGTTTGAGGAATCGGCGTACTTAAATACATAAAAAGAAGAATTTTTCAACTAATTCGCTTCGCTCACGAAAAAGCTTCCTTAAATATTTTAATGGTAAAAACAGGTCTTTATAAGTGAACATAAAGACGTCTAATAATAAGAGTTATCAGAGTAGAGAATATGAGAATTTAGGTATTATAAATTATATTACGAGGGTCAAACTGAAAGTTCTTAGAAAATCAAAAACTGATTACATTAGCCAGTTATTAGTTTTATTATATCTTTTCAAAATATTGTCCATTCACGTCAATACACCGCTGCATGCGATGGAACCACTGGGAAAAGCACTTTGCCCACTCGTCCTTAGGGGTCTCTTCAATGGCATCGCGATACGCAGCCACCGCTTCTTCAGCATTCATAAACCGCTTTCCTTTAAGTTTTTCTTTAATTTTTGGAAATAAATAAAAATCACAAGGCGCGAGGTCGGGGCTATACGGCGGGTGACCCAGTAATTCAACGTTTGATGTCGCCAAATAGTCGATCGTTCGCTTGGCGGTGTGCGACGAGGCGTTGTCGTGGTGAAGGAGGATCCTACTGCGAGGTCGTTTCTCTCGAACTTTTTCCAAGACAAGTGGCAAACAATTGGTAGTGTACCATTCTGCAGAAACTGTTTTTTGATCCTCTAACACAATTGTTGCAAAATGACCTATCCTTCCAAAGAACGAGGCCACCATTTTTTTTCCCGCACTTCGATCTCTCTTCACTTTAGTTGGCAACTCCTCGAAAGGAAACACCCACTGAGCAGATTGTCTTTTGGTTTTAGGATCATAACAGTAAATCCAGCTTTCGTCACCTGTTAGTATGTCGAACACAGCATTTGAGTCACCTCCGTTAAATCTTTCAATCATTTTACGACACCAATCCACACGATGGAGTTTTTGAGCCTCAGTCAAATTATGAGGTATCCACCGGGCGCAAAGCTTCCTGACCGCTAAATGTTCGTGGAGGATTTTGTGCACTTGACTCATACCGATGCCTAAGCTTGTCCGAATCTGTTGATAGGTCACTCTTTTGTCAGTCTCTATCATACGCCGCACAACACAGATGTTATCTTCAGTCGTCGCCGTAGAAGGCCGTCCCTCACGTAAATCATCAGTGAGATTAGTGCGACCACGTTTAAACTCATTAAACCAGTTGTAAACAGTCGCACGAGATGGGGCTTCATCGTGAAAGGCCAATCGTAGTCTATCATAACTTTCTTGTTGACTTAAATGACATCGAAAGTCATAAAAAATCATTGCACGAAAATTTTCTCGTGTTAAATTCATGATGACGTGACACAGACAATTTTCGATTTGCCGCCAAATCGTAAAACAAATGACAAATGAATGAAATATATACTCAGTAATATTGGCAAAGAGTTATACTTTCAAATTTTAGAATTATTTTTTTATTATATTGTTTATAAGTGGCCAGTTCTAAGAACTTTCAGTTTGACCCTCGTATAAGTTATATTAAAGATTTATGATGATGGATTAATACAAACTGCTACTAGGGTAGTTTAGTTGCTAAATCACCTAGGCTTCGCGGGCTTGGGAGCCGGACGAACTGGTTGTCTTGGTATAGACTTGTGTTGGATACGTATGTCTCGTCCGGCAATAATAGTGTTGGCGACAGATGGTGGCGCGGGTTCCGTGTTGTAAGGAGGATATGGTGGAAAAGTAGCTCCTGCCGCCTCACGGGTGGGAGATGCTAAGAGTACAGAATGAATATTTAAAAAAAAATTATTAACTTTTTTATTCGTATAAAACTTATCCTTAAGATTACTTAATTACACACATGTTGCAAATTTAACACTGTGTTTTCTCATACGCGGTACGGTGACTTGGGTCGTGTCAAGATAGCCCCGGGTGGCGGGGAGGAGAGAAAGTGGTAGAGGACTGCTCTAGGATAGCAAGGAAGGATGTAGTGAGAGGGAAATAGGTTCAGCGGGTGTCGTCAAGCAGGCGCGCCGCCTAATTATCACGCTCCCACTTAGCCATAGCTTTAAGAATGTCTTATGAATTTGTTTATATTCTTTAACGATCATTGTCATGTTTTAGTTTAATGAATTACGTCAAAATAGGGGAAAAAAGTTATTACTGAAGTAGAACAAAATGTTTGATAAAATATAGTTAATGATTGATTCCAGAAAACTTTCTATAGCTTGAGGTGTAACTAAACGATCGCAGTCCAGAAGTGTAGATAAATTATGTGTATTAAGTACATTAAAAATTAAAAAAAAAAAGCTTTGTAATGCTCAAAAATTGAAAGCCTGACGCGACTGAAGTATGTGTTTCTATCTGCGGTTGAAGTCCTTCTGCTCCAAGATTTATTACAAATTGTAATTTGTGTTTGCGTTGTTTGTTTTAGTTAGGGATTCATTTATAAACTTTTAGCTAAAACGTATTTTAAATCAGTACTTTAAAGTGTACCTAAATGGAAGATGATTTTTTTATTTAAAAGATTAGTGGTTACCTTCTCCCATTACTGAGGCTGGCATTTCGCTTTCGGCATATTCGGAAGCGGTGCCGGAAGCCGCTGGCGGAGATTGAGCCATGTTGAAGGAAGTATAACTATATCAATTATTTTAGAACAGTCCTTGTAGTCTATAATTCATTAAAAAAGGTACATTTATCGAATTAGCTATTTTGTCGTGATAGCATTTTTAAAGAATGACATGTAGGTATCTTCTTTTTTTAAAGTTGTTTAATTAATTGATAGCCAGTTGCAAATGATACAAATACGTAATGTAAGAAGATTTTATTGACTTTCAAGGAAAACTATGTCATAATTAATTAGTGCAAGCGTTGCGCTACTGGAGGGAAATGAGTTCCAACGCAAAATGTTAGGACTGGGCTTTAACAACGAATATCAACTGAAAATTGCTCAAAGAGCTAGAAGTCTATGATCAAAGAATATTAATATGAGTGTCGCCCTACTTTTTGGTCTTCGGCAACTTGATCATTGTCACCACCTTCTTATTTCTGAAAATTGGGGCCTTAAATTTAAATTTCAGGCTGTTTATTTGATTTTCACGTGACGAGGGTTCCGTCAAAATAGACCTTAGGCATTTAATACTTTTTTTTAATTTATTTTTTACTTCATAACTTCAGGTAGTTGTTATCTGTATTTTTTTAGTTATAAGCCCAGTAGTTTCGTAGATTACGTGGAGTGGTCATGAATTATGTTCATTTCCAAAATACCTACATTACTTGGATTTTGAATCTTATTTTAAGAAGTCTTATTTTTTTGAATAATGCAAGTTTTACAATTTTTATGAGGAAGGGGATGAAATTGGACTGATCAAAATATTTTGACAAATAACGAAAATATCATGTAACATATGTTCACATAAAAATAATTTAGTTGAATTGATAACGTTTTCCTTTTTGAACTCGACTAAAAATATGTGCGCGGATTAAAAACTGTTGTACGCTTTAATAACACTTTGGTACGCTATAATGCCCATTCTTTGTTAAATAGAAGTGAAAAATATTTATGTTATAAAAAGTCAGTAATCGAATCAGTCTATCGACTAACTCCTTTTATATTAATGTATTTATTTGTAATTCTTTGCACGCAAAAATTGTACCAATCTCTACCAGTCAACCTGAGAACTAGGCACCACCATAAATCAGATAAAGGTAATAAACCAAAAACAGGAATACATATTCCATATTTCTATTTAAATCATTGAAATCTTGAGTACGCATTTACCCTAATGTGTAAATAATAATAAAAATATACATTAAAAACAATACACATTCCATATATACATACATTATATACTGTTCGAACAACTGTCAGATTATCAGGATAAGTCTGAGATTTCAATAGATAATGCGGTAGTATTTTAAGGAAAAAAAGTAAAACCTTACTAAATAGCGATTCTAGCAAAAGCTGATTTTTGCAGGAAACGAATGGACGAAAGATAGTCATTTCCGTTCCTTTTTAACTAACATATTAAAAAACTTAGATATAGAAGAATATGAGTTATTTATTGAGTTTTGAAAATTAATTTACTTTAGAGAAAACCGAAAGGATTGTCATAGAGAAATCAAAAAAGTACCATAGCGACATCTAGTTTGATTTCGCGAACTAATGTTTTTTTTAAATACTTTTCCATTGCGGATTAAACGCTTGAAAGCTTTATTATGTGCTTTCTGAATGCAGGATGAAAGTGTGTTCTAGATTCGTATTGCCTGAAGAGTCAAAGAGTTGGAAATAAAACTAGTGCGGTGAAAAGGAATAAGAAGTGTTCAACATTGCTGCTTAAGCGAAGATTTAAGGCATAGGAAGCACCAAAAAACTCGATTTTCATTTTAGGTACTTGGGAGCACTTGGATCATAGATTCCGATATTCGAAAATCGAGAACTAATTCAACTCTTTGTGGTAAGCCGAAACATGGATCATGCCATAGATAGATTCATCTTATTCTTATTGAGTATCAGTCCATATGATAGTGGGCTGAATTAAGAATATTTTAGTAAAAGTGAGTAGAACGTAATAAAATTGGTTAAAGGACTATAGCGTCATATCGATATGCAGTCCAAGGTTTACTACATGAGAAACAAACTCGATGATAGTATTTCTGTATGAGAAAGGGTCAACAGTACTCGAGTCTACATTTGATTGACACAGATGCCAAATTTACTACTACTCTAATCAGGGAGCCAATTCAACTAAATAAATTTTGAATTTGTATTTTTTCATTACAAGGTGTATTTTGTTTTTCGAAATTCCGATTACTTCTTTACCTTCCCTCATTGAACTTTGAGGATTTGCCTCAAACTATATTTAGGAACCGTAAGGTTGGAGGTGTGGTCCCTACTGTAGTGACGGAGACAACTGGCCAGGGAGACTAAAGGATAATTGTCTCCCTCCGAGCTAGGTGTTTTTAGCCCGGGGACCGCGGTCCAACCGATGTAGGTTTGCTTGTCGTCGGGTAGCTAAAACTCCGTAGGTAACTTATTCTGTGCGATGTAGGTTTCTTTGTTCTAAATGTCTTCTAGTTATTAATTTATGCTGTTTGTATTGGTGCAGCGCCATCTCGTTACTTGCTGTTGAAACTTATTGCAGTTCGTCTTGCTATCGATGGCTGTGACGATGCTAGTCTTCTCGCTATCGATTGTTGTGGCGATGTTACTGCGATGAATTAGATGTCGCTATGTATCAGTCGCCACATATATATTAAAATGTCGAGTTCGTCGTCAGTGTTTATCATTTGATGCCACGGTTATATAAAAATTCACAATACAATGCAAACATACTACAATGTAAATCACAGAAACAAAAGGATAAAAGTTAGAAAATGGAACACAATTTTGAATTATTTCTTTATAGTTAGCCAGCCGCGTTGATATGGACAATATAATTTATGTGTCTATCTGCTCCGGATAGGGTTCAATTTGTTGCATACAATTAATTTTGTAATATAGGTCATAATTAATAATTTACCGTATATTGTATGGGATCACCACGTTTTACCGTATTTTGGGTATATATTTATGGGTATATAGGGTGATATTTAACTTATTGGTAAGTTGACTATCTGACTCTATTTATACGAGGTATGGGTTTAATTTTAAACTGTTTTGATGTTGAATGACGACTTGCAAATGCATTGTTGTTTATATTACAAATGGCACAGATTGCGTCACCACAGAGTGGACGACAAAGATTATCAAACAGATGTGCAACACTATACTAACGCAAACGAAATCGTTAGTTTTAGATGTCCAACAAAACATGTAAAACAGATAACAGATTTTAAATAATTGATAAATTCACGCCACTTTTAAGAAAATAATGAACACGACTTGAGTCACAAATATTTGATTGGTACGTAAGTGTGAAATTAATAGAAGTGCAATAGGTAATAGTTTAGCCATGTTTTTAAGAAAGGAAATTATATTAAATTATTTAATTAGTAGATTTTTTTAGCTGTTTCACGAAATACTAACTTTTGTTTAATATGACTATAATGTCGATATATATATCCCTTAACCACTGACGTACGTCTGAGAGACGTACAGTGCACATTAAAGCGGTCATATCTTTTTACTATAAACGCGCACGGACTTGTCCTTTCTTGTACCTTCCTAAGATCCAGTGACGAACGCGCAGCGGGTGTGAATAATTGTGCGGTGTGCCTTGATTAGGTAAGTATAGCCGTCCTAACGTCTGTGGGACGTAACGTCAGAGTAAATGTAAGCTTTAATTTTTTTTTTAGATTTTTGTGTTGTGTTAAAATGTCTTCGAATAAACGTCATTTGGATACTCAATGCCCGACTTCGAGAAAACAGCCTCGAATTAATGTGACTGATCAACAGTTTGAGAGTTTCGTCGTGGAAACCCTAGGCCTTTTCCGAGAACGATGATTCTTCAGCTGATGAGGATGACATCCTGCCACAGGAGGCTGAAGTAGACTCCTCGTCGGATAGCGATGACAATATCCCCCTTAACAGAAATACAGGGTGAAACGGGTCTTATCGAAGAAGCCGTTCCTTACTCAGACTCTGATGGACCTACGACATCACAGGAAACCGTATATTTGCAGTGTTCAAAACCGGCTTGTGACACATGTCGCTAAAAAGTGTTTAGTTCCTAATAATATACCATTTTTTTGTTTTTTTATTATGAAGTATTATCTAGATGTTAAGATACTATCAGCTCTGTGATAATTTTAGACTGATAAGTTAAGTTTTTGAGCCGTTAAGAAAGAAGGCGTTTTTTGTTCCTATTGATTTTTCAAAGATTTCTATTTTGAGTTTAAGTAAATATTTTTTATATAATTAACGTGTTTTTATTTATTAATTCGGTTCCCTTTATGCTAAATTAACGATAAATAATAAAACAAACAAATAAATATTAAAATATTACTAATAAAGGCTATTTCAAAAAACCATACGTCAGAGCGACGTACGTCAGTGTTAATGAAAGTAAATAATGGCCAGTGGTTAAGGGATATATTCTTCTTCTTTTTTAATTAATGGCTTATCTGCGCATTTCGCACAATTCTGCCAATGTCAAGTAAATAAATTAATTTTTACATGTAAAATGAAAATGAAATGAATGAAAGATAATTATTTAACCAAGGGATATATATATACCGATATAATGTGACGCGCCCCATGACAGTCCGCCATTGAAGAATTGGCAATTCAAGTTTAGGCATATGCGCTCTTTTCGTAGATATGGCCGGTTCGCTTCTTTATGTCAATGACTATAGTGTTTTTCATATAGCATAGTTCTTATTCTTTTTTAATTAATGGCTTATCTGCGCATTTCGCACAATTCTGCCAATGTCAAGTAAATTAATTAATTTTTACATGTAAAATGAAAATGAGATGAAATATTTATTTTCCTGTGTTTTTCATATAGCATAGGTAAAAATCCAAATCCAAATGTCACTGCGTTTGGGATTTGAAGTTTATAGTAACGTGGTAATTAAAAATATATATACTATAACTCGATATTACTGAGTTAATTTCTAGCAGAGATAATCGATTTTGAGGTCAATGTATAAAATAAGATATAAGAGGAATCCCGGGTTC